ATATTATCCGTGTGACTGATCGTGTCATTTGGTTTATCACTACTCGATGTCGATTCTTGAGCGGCAATCTTGGCTGCCATTCCCCCACTTTCCCTACAAATATGACAATAAACTCAAACATTAATCACAATTAAAATAAATCCCCAAAAATATAAATTAAATACTTATAAAGTTTCATGAAATCATCGTTATTTGTATTGAGATAAGCCTTTTCCACTCTAATCAGGTGCTCGACACAGGCTTTGCATCGTTTCTTGCACTCGACCACATAGTCCAGAGTCAGTCGAGTGTAGAATTCTCTGCAAATAACAGATAAACACACAATTGCTATAAATTTTAAAAATATTTTCACAAAAAAACTCGCACTTAATGGGTGTGAAAGTCTGTATGGTTTGGATACAGTCTCTGACGATGTCCTGCAATTCATACGCTACGGACTCCACGCAAACCAGTGATGGCTTTCGGAGCAACTCTTAAGGCGTGAGATCAACACAAAACTCGTTTCAAACAAATTAACTTCAAAACTAAAATCAAATAATAAACAATTTCTTAAATTGAATACCGATTTGACTGATGACACAGGCCTTGAAGGCGGCGTCGGGCGGAAATATACACATATAGACACCTTTGATGTTCTGGNAAACAAATTAACTTCAAAACTAAAATCAAATAATAAACAATTTCTTAAATTGAATACCGATTTGACTGATGACACAGGCCTTGAAGGCGGCGTCGGGCGGAAATATACACATATAGACACCTTTGATGTTCTGTATGGCGACGTGGATGTCGTGTCTCATCTGATGCTCATCCGTGAACAACTGGTTCACTTCATTGCCGTACGTGTCGTTCATAATGACATTAATCTTGGCGCCGCCATTCAGCTTCTTGATGTCCACATCGTTGCCATTACCGCTACCATTCCCTCCCACCGCCGACTCGAAGTTCTTGCGTAACTCCTCATTAGTTTTGGACAAAATTATCTCTTTGTCGGACTCGACCAGTGGTTCGCTAATCGCCTCCAACTTAGCCGTCAGTTCACTCAACTCCAACTCAAACCGATGCTTCAGCGGCGGTAGGAGTTTGTAGATATGCTTCGAGAGCTCTTGATGCAGGTATTGCTGCAGATAACTGATCCCCAGCCGATCGCTGATGTCCTTATAGGCCGGGTGTTGGCTGAAGAACTGGTACTCCTTGTCCAGCGCCTCCTTCATGTCCTTTTTCTCGTCGATATCCCGTTGCGAGCGATTCACGACACCAATGAATCCGCGTTTCAGATGAATGCCGTAATTGCCGGTCAGTATATCCCGCGCATCAGACCCCAGCTCCAGGCGATCCAATTTGGTTAGTATACCGATAGTGCGCTCACCCTTCGGGTCCACCCGTTCCGCCAGTTTCAGGGCGTCAGAGGTCGCCAAATCTGACCACAAAAGTCGTGTTAAATGTGTTAATAGTATGGTTAGTATGATAGGCACGAGTGGTTATTATTAAGTAGGCATACCCTGAGTGGCGGACGTGACCGCCAGTATAAGACAATTATCTCTGCGGATGTACTCGAGTATCATATTCTCGACGCGATTCTCGATATCCTTGGGCTGACTGCCGACCGCCACTCGCGTCAGTCCCGGCAGATCCACTAAAGTCAGGTCCAACACGTCCGGCGAGTGGATCTTGAGGTGTATGGGTTTGGGCGATATTCCCGTACTGTCCCTCACCTCCCGGTCCGTTTCGGCCACAATCTCGTCGCGTATTTCATCGAAATTCACGAATCGTTTTGCGGGTAAATGAAGAAACTCTCCATAGGCTGGCAATAAATGGCAAATAATTGTTGTCTCATTAGTCATACATACTATGCATAGCTATTCAGGCGGAGAGAGAGAGAGAGAGACATACAGTTGGTGTCGACTTTATTGTTGATGAGTTGCAGGACTAGTGGCCTACGGGTGACAATACCGGAGCCGCGGGGCAGGAAGTCTCGGCCCACAAAACTTTCCAAAACACTCGACTTTCCGGCCGACTGTCCGCCGATGACAGCGATTTGCGGCAAATCTATGGCCAGACTCTCGACGCCCAGGTCCTGGAGTTTGTCCTGAAGTTCGTTCACTATTTGTATCAAATTTTTGCCACTTTTGGCCATATTTTGAGCGAATATTTTTCACGAAATTAATTATAATGTTTGAAAAATTAATTACAAAAATACTTTTGTTACACAAATATTACAAATATGATAAATACAACAAAACAGTCACATTACTGATTACATGAATATATTTTATGCGCATATGTTATAATAACATGTATATTAATAAATGGAGTTAGGGTAATTAATAAATTATTAAATAATGTTACTATTATAGCAATGTTGACAACAAAGCTATATATTTTTAATGAATATCTAATTCTGAGTAGACTTTGAATTGTAGTAGACTATCGCTAAAAACAACCCTACACTCACTGATTATGTGCAGGTTGTCTATCAAGTCTACGAGACAATTATCAAGGTATTACACAATGGATTGAAATTCAAATAATTTCCCTTCGTGTACTAGCAGTGAGAATACGCTGTGTTTAACACACTGTGTGTTGAAATTCAATGACTTATCACTGAAATGTGCAATAGTTTCGCAGATTATATGATGAATCATATCATGTTATGAATAGTACAACAAATTCATGACATAAACAAAATGTGATTTTATTTTCCAACATTCATTCAAAACACATGTTTTTATTGGCATTTAGTTAATGATAGCTTTAATTACTAATATTACTGTAATATGCAAATACTGTAACTCTAAGAAACATAATAATGCATAAAATTTAGTTAAAATTGGTTTTAAAAACAAAATAGCTAGAATAATCTCAATTATTTTAGTATTTTTAGTAATTTAAAGAGTTAAATTATCATCTGTATCAAATTGCATTTAAGTAAATAATTAAAAACTAACTATAAAGTTTAAACATTATTTTAAGAGTAGATTTTATGTTTATGTAATTATTGTCTAGTGTTTACTCGTTTAATATAACCAAGTGCATTCAAATGCATGATTTATTGTCATATGATAATGCAATGGCCTTATAGTTGATAAAAGTATGACATTTGATGTAAACGTGAAAATTGATGGGCGNATTTTATGTTTATGTAATTATTGTCTAGTGTTTACTCGTTTAATATAACCAAGTGCATTCAAATGCATGATTTATTGTCATATGATAATGCAATGGCCTTATAGTTGATAAAAGTATGACATTTGATGTAAACGTGAAAATTGATGGGCGGAGAGAAAGCGGTGCTTTTTTTTTATTAAAACCAGTTTTGTATTGAAGTTTTGCTATTAAATTAAAATTAAAATTAATGTTACGTATTGGCAGTCAATCAGTTTCTAACAACATATTTAATTAAGTTAACTAAAAAATTTTATAGTACTTTTAAAATTTTAAATTTTATATACAGTATCATTTGATATCAGCATATTCTCATCAGTTGTCTGTTTTTAAATAAAATTATTAAATATTATATTTAGTTTATTATAGACATCTAGAACCTGGTTATATGCACATAATGTTATATGACATATGTTTTTAGTCTTACTCACTTTAGCAATAGACGCAGTTAAGTTTAGTAATTTAATAGGCAATAATTTAATTAAGTTTTATAATTTAGAGTTAATTAAAGTTAATTAAGAGTAATGGATATCAAACCAAAAGACTATAATATCGCAAATGGTATTCACAAAATATTTGCCGAAAAACTTATTAAACATATTCTGGAAATCACTAAAAATGAGTTAGTCTTCAGAAATTAATTCATACAATATTTTCATAAAAATTAATATAATATAATATAATATTATTTTTAAAATCTTTAGACATTTCGATGTCATTCTAGACATCGGTTCCGGTTCTGGAAATGTGACCGAAATTGTGGCCAAAAATGTGAAACACAATACAATTATTGGTTTAGATATCGACCAAAAAATGATTGAATACGCGAAGCAAAACCAAAAGTTTGCTTCAATTGAATACCTGTTGGAAGACATGAGTAAACCCTGGGATGGACTGAGTGTCCGACTGCGGGCACTGGAGGGGAAGGTCTCACTTATATTCACAAACTCAACACTAATGATGATTCAAAACAAGAGACAATTTGTGCGCAATTTAAGCACAATTATGGCAAACAATTCACGCGCTTTCATCTCATTTGTCATGACTTTGGATCTGAACTCAAAACTCAGTCATAAAGAGAGGATTGAATGCGAAAAGTGGGTAAAAGTACCCAAATATGAGCAACAGGTACACAACTGGACCGATCTATTCCTAAACAATGGCTACACCATTGAAATGACAGAAATAAAGGACTACTTCTATGACTTTAAAATAGAGTACGCGAAGAGTGAGTATTAAGTATACTGTTTATTCAATTACTGAATACCCTGGTGTTATTCATTAATAGTAACCCTCCCAATGCTGGAGAAGCTGTACGCCGGGTATTGTATGCAGGGATGTGGTGTTGAAGGCATGTCCGATGAGATGAGACAGCGATTTAAGGAGCAGATGAGCGATCAGATAATTAACGCCCGGAGCCCTACACTCGACAGATGCCTACTGTCTCGTGGATTGAGCGGAGGTTTGGGGGAATCGGTTGAAATGTTTTACAAAATAGCGTTCATTATTGTGCGCAAGAATGGCACCAATTAATGGGGCATTCATTTGGATATTAGATTTGTTTACTGATATTCAAATTATAAATCCAAATGAATACTTTACATATTTGTAGTGATTTTATTTTTTAGAGCCCGTAATATAATATTTGTGATTTAGTAAATGAAATCTTGTTTTTGAATTATATTACTATTACTATTATATTATATGATTTCGAAACTAATAAATTCATTTTTTTCTGAACACATTTCTTATGTCTAATTAGAGAATTGAGATCAATTAGTAAGAATTTAGTAAATTTTTAAATTAGTCTATGATCACATGTTACAATATATAAATATAACATTGAATGCTTAATATTCCGGTTAAGTCTTTCACACTCATAATTAAACTATGCACTTTATACATTTTAAAGTTTATTCAAAATTTATAATTAATTAATAATATTGAACTAAATGATTTTCACATTCATTCGGCTTCCTATGTACATGTATCATTTAAAATACATAACGTGATTGCACATATTATTTTACTGTATATTAATACGTACTTGAGGTGATTTATTAAGAAACATAAGTATTAATATTTATTAAATCTGTGAATAGTTTAGTTAAGCACGAGTTGTTAACAGATTTGGTATTAAAAAATATTAAAACTAATTTTTAAAAAACCATTTAAGTATAATAGCATCTACTAATCCAGACTACATTTATGATGCCACCATTTAAACTATTCATTGTATTGGCATTTATGGACTGTTTAAGCCGTGAGTACTTAAAAAATAAAATAATACTCCGTTTTGGAGTATTTAATTGCTATAGAGGTAATTCCTCGAGTTTATATTATATTTTTATTATTATTAGCTAAGTTATAAGTTGTATCTATAATGAATAATTTATATATTGGTATTTTATTATCAAGCATATATTTGAAATAAGTAACACGTTAGTTTTAATGATAACTTAAGTTTTTTAATTATATTCATTAATTTTTAAAAATAGTAGAATTGTGAGCGATATTATCTGTGAAATAATTTGTATTAATATTTTGGATAATTTAAATCATATTAACAATTACTGGTAATTTATACCTCGTATCCCTTGAATTCATTTATAATGAATAGTTTCCAACAATAAAAGCCAATCCTTTTCACACCTATTCTCTCCATTACTGACAATA